TTTGTCATGAAAAGACTTGTTCGGGATACCTGTGGCATTCTACTTGAGCCTGCAGTGCACGTCCGCTGAATTACGCGCGTGTTTTGACAAAATGGATGCCGAAAGAGAGTCAAAAAGACTCTGTGTTGAAAAAATTGAATGCCAAAAAGCCTTAGACGACTYAATCTCTGAACAAGATGACGACCGAGAGTTTAAAGACATCAAAATGGATGAAGGAGACAGCGATAATGACTCCGTCGTTAGCAGTTCWAACTYGACAAGCTCAACGACAACCTCGTCAACGATGAAAAGAAACTTTGCACGCGGMAAGCGAAGAAAGAAGAAGAAGGCAGTTGCGTTTAGATGCTCGAATTTTCTGAAGGTAGTAGCATTTATCAAGCTAACTTACATCAATCTACTAGCAATTATAGGAACAATTTTACAAGTTTAACGATTGCACATGTAATGTAGTTTTCATTCAGACGCTCTTAGAGCGCTCATAAGCGTCCCAGTGAAGCTTACTTGTTAAACTTTATTTACCGTACTTTTATGGAACTCTTGTCTGGCAATTGTACATAATGTATTTTGATCTGAAAGAGAATGTTGCAATTTATGTCTGATAATCATTAGTACAAGAACATCATTAAGAGGTTAACTCATTAAGTCAATGTCCAATCATCGTTAATCAAACAACAGCATCATCAATAAATTTAGGTTGCAGAAGTGAGGTTTGATAGAGAGTAAAATTAAGAATAAGCCTTTTTCCAGTTCAATTTGAGCAACCGCTGTTTTAGTAGACAGCAGACTCACTTGCGTAGAGAACAAAAAAAAGCACGAAAAAACGCTGACATTACAATAGCTCTGGAAATTTGAATCTTTTCCGATTTGAGGCTTAGCCTGTATTCCTACAAAACCTTGAGTTTGAGCCTTCTGGGAATACATGCTTTATAGTGCTATCGTAATGACAACATGTAAATTTCATGCTTTCTTTTGTTTTTGGTAAGGTCTCTGCGCACGAGAGACTGTTGTCAACTGAATCAGCGGTTGTTCGCTTTGAATATGAAAAAGGGGTATTGCATAATTTAAGCTTTATTCAGGGTTCGTACAGTCTTGAAAAGTCCTTGATTTTTTAGCTAGGTCCTTGAAAAGTCCTTGACTGCAAATTTTCCTTGAAAAGTCCTTGAATTTGGAGGAAAGGTCCTTGAAAATGATAATTTAGTCCTTGAATCAGTCTTGGTTGTTCTAAAGTAATGTTTTGGGGATCAATTTAGCCAAGCTTTAAAGCAAAA